AATATAGAGGATAAATTTTAATTCGTTTCTAAATCCTAGACTTCAATTTATTTCAATTTGATCATTAATCTTAAATTTAGTTTCAAAATTAAAATATAAGGACACAATTGAGAATCTTCTAAAAGTTAAGTGACTACAAATGATATTTACCCTACTGTCTCAAGAATTTTTCTTTAGAAAAATTCATATCTAAGAGATTAACTATAACTCATTTCAAAACTAAGAAACAAAATTTAAATTTCAAAAATCAAACATTATTAAATTTTATTTATGAAATAATTAATTAATTATATTAACGTCGTAATTTTATATATTTTGGTTACAAATTATCGAATTAATTGGTCAAAAATTAATTTTTAATCACAAAACAAAAAAATTATAAGTAAAAAAATTATTTTACGATCACAAATCAAAATTTTATAGGTCATGTATTATTCCTTGCTCATAAATCACAAATTTTACAAGTCACAGCTTATTTTATAATTATAAAATATCAAATTAATTGGTCACAAATTATTTATCAATCACAATCTAATAAAATATAAGTCACGATCATATTTTTAGGTCACTTATTATTTATTTGACACAAATTTACCAATTTATTGGTCATGATCAATTGAATAATTGGTCACAAGCAACCACTCACTACAACAACTACGGCCCCACCACTAGATCACTGTCATGGCCATGATCATCACTATTGCCAACACTATTGCTAAATGCATTGTCATCACCATCGCCACCTCCAAATCCATCATCAGCAGCAGCACCAAATCCACCAATAGCATCGCCAATAAAACTACTCCAACATTACCAAATCATGGAAACAACCACCGCCACCAACCAATTAAAATCAACTAAATCTGGCGTGCCCGCCATCCTTCATGCCCAAAAATCATCTCAAAACCACGTGCCGCTGCGAGCAAGGTGACATAGTCCATTCTGAACTGGTTCTAAGCGGTGGCCCTTGCGTTAACGATGAATAATGGGAGATCTATGAGTGGCTGCAGTACCGCTTCAAGGGGGGAAAACGACGTCGTGGGCAGAGATGGGCGATGTAACGAGGTTGCGCTGTCATGTGGTGATGGTATTTTACAATGCTATCTTGCGAGGTTACACTTTACGATGCTATACTATCTTGCGACAGTGGTGCAAGGCTGCGCCATGGGAAAAGAGGGAGGAGAGCCATGTCGTCTGTGGGAGTTGATAGAAAGAGTAAGATGAGAGAAAATAGAAAGCGGAAAAGGAGAGTGGAAATTGTTTTTAGGGAAAATTGCAGCCAAGGTATCAAACATTTCGTTTATTAGCAGACTTTGTCCAAACCTTTAGTTTGTGTCACCGTGAGTACCAAACCTTTAAAAAATTCTCTGTTCAAGTCCAGATTGACGCTTTCCGTTAGTTTGACCCAAAAACTGTTAGTTGACCTCGAAAATTAAACAATCTAATAATTTTAACCAATTAAGGCAAGGGTAAAATTGTAACTTTATAATTTTAATATAAAGAAATTATTAAAAATGAAAATAAAAAATAAAAACCCTATCTCTTCCTTCAATCTCTCCCAATCACCTAACCCCAATTGATCTTATCTCCATCATTTCAATATCATTCATTGTTGTATGCAAGCCTAATTCTGCAACATTAGTAGCCACAATAGAAGGACCCTCCTGTGATGTTGCAGCTATGGAAGGAATTACTCCGAGGTCAAAATTGGCAACGAAGAAGAAGATGGAAATGAGTATGAATAAATCGATGGATTTTCATTTTGACAGTATACAGATTTTCTACTTTAGCTTATTTCGGTTCAGCTAGCAGATTTTGGTGAGTTTCAGATTTGGGACAGCCCGATTTTCTATCCAGTTCAAGCTTTGGTTTGTTTCAAGTTTCTTGTGTTCGATTGTTTCTCTTCTACTTTGAGACGTCCAGCCAAGGTTTAGATGCTTGTGTTCTTGGTGTTCTTGGGGTTTTCGGTGGACCTCTTTTACTGTGTGTGCTTGGGTTTTCAGTAAACCTATTTTACTGTGTGTTCTTGGGGTTTTCTAGATTGCAGGATATGTATGTATTGTGTATGTAGAGGTGCTAGTTGATTAATTTCTGAATTTGAATTTGGTCAACACAGTCTATTTTTCAATTTTCTGCATTTATACAAAGCTTGGTGACTTAGACATTGCAACCTGTAGAAATTTTTTGCAGATTTTTTGGCACGTCTAGTGCCTTTATCCTACTTGTTTTGTACGCTATTGAGGAGAAATTGTCTTCAAAGCTGAAAAAAGCCTCAACGGTGGTGCCGTCAACCGTCAATTGGGTAGAGGTGATTTTGATTTTAGGGTAAAGGAATTGGAAGAGATTGAAGGAGGAGATGGGTTTTCATTTTTTTTTATATTTTCCTTTTTAATAATTTTTTTATATTAAATTATAAAGTTACAATTTTACCCTTACCTTAATTGGTTAAATTTATTAGATTGTTTAATTTTTGAGGTCAACTAACAGTTTTTGGGTCAAACTAACGGAAAGCGTCAATCTGGACTTGAACTGCGAATTTTTTAAAGGTTTGGTACTCACGGTGGCACAAACTAAAGGTTTGGAAAAAGTCTGCTAATAAATGAAAGGTTTGGTACCTTGACTGCAATTTTTCCTTGTTTTATGGTTGAGGAAGAAATTGAATTGGGGTTATGGGGTGGGTGGATTAGTTTAATATATAAAATTTTAATTATATCTGATTTTTCAAAGAAAAACTCTTAATTATGTGCAAAGATATTGAAAAACACTTAATTCCTATAATTTTCACATTTTTCTTTATGACTGTTAATCTTGGGCCTTAGGAATGCTGGACTATATCAAGTAGGGATAGGCCTTGTCGAGGCAATAGTACCAAGCCAAGTCGACACTTGGAGGTCGAAATAGCAAACTATGCTATTTGGCCTTCCATTTTAAAGGGCAACTTACTCAAATGCACTAAAAAAGGGCTTCTATTCGAACAAGGAAATAACACACAACTACTATATTATAAAAATTACATTTCACAACTAATAAACTTACAAAACACTTTCATATATCAGATGGTAATTTCATTTAATAATATATATAATATATAATATACAATTAATTTTTATACAATTGACATACATTAAATTCTCAATCCACCTTACGGACCCTACACTCGCCCACCCTCCCAATTGTAAACCCCATCCCATCCAACCTCACCCCACTGTAGAAGTTTCCAAAAATTCAAGACATCATTTGTTTAGGAAATAGATCTACGAGGTGACAGTGATGGTGCCCTACAGGTGATGAAAGTGCATTAGAGATTAATCTGAGTGGTGGTGGTAGTGATGAGAGGTAGCAACATTTTGGTCATTGTGTGGTAGCAGTAGTGGTGTATTGTATGGACCAAATTTGTAATTAACTGTGTTATCTATGACTAGATTTATTGTTTGTGACCATACTTGTGTTATTTGTGACTAACTGTGACCAAAATTCTCATTAGTGTGATCGTCTATAACCAAATATATCTAATTTGTAACTGTGTGTGATAGAGTCGCTAACCCTCATTATATGTGACTAACTATGATGAAGTTTGCATTTATTGTGATTATATGTGGCCGAGTCAATCTTAACCATGATGGTATATGACCAAGTCACAATTGATTGCAATTAACACATAATTGGTCACAATCGATCATAAATACATATAGAGTTTATCATAGAGAGTCACCGAAAATAAATCCACATATACTACATACCAATACCACAATATATACCTTCACAGACGGTCACAATTTACATGGGCTTTGGTCACACCTGGTGACAATTTATACAAACTTGGTTATAGAAAGCCACCCATATATAATTCATGATTAGTGTCTAAAAGTGCTTCAAAGATATATCATTTACAAGACATTTTACATTCACTTTGTTTAAAAACACTAATGTTAGTCTCTAATTTCAATTCTCTTGCCGTAAATTCAATTTCCATAAATACATGGTTAAAAATATAATTAATTGAAATACGTATTTACATACATGTCGGCATGAGTATTATACATTTGAAAGAGTATTTATTTGATGTATTTCACATGTATTTTTAATTTAGAACAAGTGTAGCAAGTTTTTGGCGCCGTTGCCGGAGATTTTGCGTCAAAGATTATTTTCTGCTACTTTCTGTGAGGTTTTTTTCTCCTTCATAATCTTTACAAATCAGGTACACTCGTTCCTTTTTCAATCTTATTACTTTAGTTATTTTACTTTAAAGGAAGGCTGAGCCACCTTCTTCTTTTTTTCTTTCTTTAAAGGGAAGGCCGAGCCTCCCGATCTGTCGTCTTTTTATTATATAGTTGGCTGTGCAACCTAATTTTCGTTCTTATTATATGGTTGGCCGTGCCACCTAATTTTCGTTCGTTACATCTACTTTTTGTTATTTTATGTCATATTGGTATCGTGAATTAAATTCTTATCGTTTAGTTAAAGATAATTGTGAAACTTTATTTAGTAATTTATTTGACTCCTCTCAATACTCACTTACATCTTCCACCATGGCTGATAATGAAAGCGTACATGATGAAAATGAAAACCAACAAGCACGAACCATGCGTGATTACTTGCAACCTCCTCGAAATTCTGCTCCTTCATATTTCATTTTCCCTCTTAATGCTAATAATTTCCGATTCAAGCCGGGTATGATTCCATTACTTCCTAATTTTCATGGCTTAGAATCCGAAAGTCCATATTTGCATCTTAAAGAATTTGAGGAAGTATGTGCCACATTTAACGATCAAACTTGTCCCAATGAAATTGTTAAGTTGAAATTGTTTCCTTTTTCTCTAAAAGATAAAGCAAAAACTTGGCTTAACTCTTTGAAACCTAGGTCGATTGGCACATGGCATGAAATGCAAAGTGAGTTTTTGAAGAAATTCTTTCCAACACATAAAACTAATGCTTTGAAAAGACAAATCCAAATTTTTTCTCAAAAAACCAGTGAAGTGTACTTTCAATTAGAAAGATTTAAAGATTAGTTAAATACATGCCCACATCATGATTTTGAAAAATGGCGTACTATAAGTTTCTTTTATGAGGGCCTAACTCCTGAAACAAAACAATTTGTAGAAATGATGTGCAATGGTGAATTTTTAGATAAAGATCCAAATGAAGCTTTGGAATTTCTAGATCATCTAGTTGAAAATTCTCAATCTTGGCAAAAAGTAAAACCAATCGAAAACTCAATTAGATCTAGTCTTGCTAGTTCTAGTGGAGGAAAATATCAATTGAGTCAAGATGATGATCTAAATGCTAGGATTGCTAGTTTGTCTAGAAAGGTTGAAGCTATGGAATTAAGGAAAGTAAAGGAAGTTAAACCCGTGCAAAATGATGAAATTTGTAGCATTGGTGAAACTTTTGGTCATCTTACGCATGATTGTCCTAACATTCCAGTTTTCAAAGAAGTTTTACATGATCAAGCCAATGCTATGAACACTTTCAAAAAGCCTTTTTCTTCTTCATACTCAGAAACATATAATCAACAATGAAGAAATCATCCCAACTTTAGTTGGAGAGATGATAATCATGTTCATTTATCACAACCTCAAGGGCTTTCAAAATTTCCTTCTTTTCCACCACCACAATCAAAGACTCTTGAGGAAACATTGCAGTCTTTTATGCAAGGACAAACAAATATTAATAATCAAACTTCACAAGCCATCAATGAAATCAAGAACACACTTTCTTCATTGACCTCTTCTTTACGTTCCCAAGAGAAAGGCAAATTTCTTGCTCAACCTCAACTAAATCCTTCTGGGCAATTTAATGTAAATGCTTCTGGTTCTTCTGAAAGTCAACAAGAAAATGCCAACTCCATCACAACTCTTCGTAGTGGAAAAATTATTGACAAAACAATCCCTTCAAAAGAACTAAAATCTGGTGGTACTTCAAAGCAAGAAAATGACGTTTCCAAAAGTAAGGAAAAGATCATTTCTGAACATATTGTTGAAAAATGTCCCATTCCAGCTCCATTTCCTCAACGATTGCAACCAATTTCAAAATTCAACCATAATTCTGAAAATTTTAAACTTTTCAAACAAGTCAAAATTAACATACTATTATTGGATGCAATCAAACAAGTTCCTTCATATGCAAAATTTTTAAAAGACTTGTGCACTGTCAAGAGGAAACTTAATGTTCAACAGAAAGCATTTTTGACAGAGAATGTGAGCTCATTCATTCAACAAAACACTCCACCTAAATTCAAAGATCCTGGTTGTCCAACAATTTTTTGTGTGATTGGAAATAATAGGATAGAGCGTGCTTCGCTTGATCTTGGTGCTAGTGTTAATCTATTACCTTTTTCTGTGTATGAGCAACTTGGTTTGGGAGAGCTTAAACCAACAGCAACAACACTTCAACTTGCTGATCGTTCAGTAAAAGTTCCAATAGGGGTTGTAGAGGATGTTCTAGTTCAAATTGATAAATTCTATTATCCTGTTGATTTTATAATTTTGGACACACATCCTATTTTAAATTCAAATGCACAAATACCTGTCATTCTAGGACGTCCCTTTCTTACTACTTCAAATGCGTTGATAAATTGTAGAAATAATATCTTAAAACTCTCTTTTGGAAATATGAATGTGGAAATGAATGTTTTTAACACTTGCAAGCAACATGGAGATAATGATGATTTACATGAAGTAGATTTTATTGAACAATTGTTGATGATCAGTTTATCACTACATCTTCATCTAATGTGCTAGAATTTGAATTTAAAAATAATTCTGAAAATTCGCATATAATTTCTTTGTTGAATTCTTTTCAGGAGAAAAAGACAAGTGATTGGAAATTAAAGTTTGAAAAATTATCACAACAGTCCAATATGTCCATGATTTCAAGTGTTCAAATGTCAAAGCTCGACTTGAAGCCATTACCATCTAATCTGAAATACTCATTTTTGGGTGAAGATGAAACTCTTCCGGTAATAATTTCTTCCCAACTTGATGCGCACCAAGAAGGTAAGTTATTGCAAACTTTAAAAATGCATAAAAATGTTTTAGGATGGACCATAGCTGATATAAAGGGGATTAGTCCTTTGATTTGCACACATAAGATTTATTTGGAGGAATATGCTAAACCTACAAGAGAAATGCAAAGAAGGCTTAATCCTGTTTTAAAAGAGGTGGTAAGAAATGAAGTCATTAAACTCTTAGATAATGAAATCATTTATCCTATTTCTAATAGTAGATGGGAAAGTCCAACCCAAGTTGTACTAAAAAAATTTGGTGTTACTGTAGTCAAAAATGAAGAAAATGAGTTAATTCCAACTATAACTGTTACTGGTTGGCGCATGTGTATCGACTATAGGAAACTCGACTCAATGACTAGGAAAGATCATTTTCCTTTACCTTTTATGGATCAAATGTTGGAAAGAGTGGCAGGACATGAATTTTATTATTTTCTAGATGGATATTCTGGATATAACCAAATTGAAATTATACCTGAGTACCAAGAAAAGACCACTTTCACATGTCCCTTTAGTACTTTTGCTTATCGTAGAATGTCTTTTGGATTATGTAATGCACCAGCTACATTTCAAAGATGCATGCTTAGTATTTTTAGCTACATGATTAAAAGATCTTTGGAAGTTTTCATGGATGATTTTACTGTTTTTGGCGATTCATTTGATGATTGTCTAACTAACTTGCAAAAAGTTTTAGTTAGGTGTGAAGAAAAGAACCTTGTGCTCAACTGGGAAAAATGTCATTTTATGGTCACTAAGGGCATCGTACTTGGTCATATTGTATCACCTAATGGAACTGAGGTAGACAAATCTAAAACTGAATTGATTTCTAATTTGCCTACTCCACATAGTGTTAAAGAGGTAAGATCTTTTTTAGGACACGCTGGTTTTTATAGAAGGTTTATCAATGACTTTAGTGCCATATCGAAACCATTGTGTAATCTCTTATCTAAAAACATGCCTTTTGGATGGTCTAAGTCTTGTCAAGAAGCTTTTGTTAAACTAAAGAACATGCTTACTAGTGATCCTATCATGCAACCGCCAGATTGGAATTTACCTTTTAAAATGACGTGTGATGCTAGTGATTATGCTATTGGAGCTGTCTTAGGCCAAAGAAAAGATAAGAAACCTCATGTCATTTACTATGCAAGTAAAACTCTAAATAATGCTCAAATGAATTATTCTACCACTAAAAAAGAATTGCTTCCCGTAGTGTTTGCTTTGGACAAATTTCGATCATATCTTGTTGGCTTACCAATTGTTATTTTTAGTGATCATGCAGCTTTAAAATATCTTCTCTGTAAGAAAGATGCCAAACCTAGGTTGATTAGGTGGATTCTTTTACTCCAAGAATTTGACATCACCATTCGAGAAAAGAAAAGAGTAGAGAATGTTGTAGCTGATCACTTGTCTAAGCTTACTTGTGATGAATTGTTTGAAACAACATCAATCAAGGATACTTTCCCTGATGAACAACTTTTTAGTGTTTCTTACTTGCCTTGGTTTGCTGATATTGCTAATTTTCATGTGACAGGTCAAATACCATCTCATTGGAATGCCTAGGACAAAAAGAAATTTTTCAAAGAGGTAAAACATTTCTTTTGGGATGATCCTTACCTGTTTAAATATTGTCCAGACCAAAGAATAGGAAGATGTGTGCCAAATAATGAAATCCAAAAGATAATTGCCTTTTGCCATTCTAAAGCATGTGGTGGTCACTTTTCTTCAAAGAAAACTGCTGAAAAAATCTTGCAGTCTGGATTTTATTGGCCAACTCTTTTCAAAGACACATGAATTTTGTAAAGCTTGGGAATGTTGTCAAAAATTAGGTAGGATAACTCGTAGAAATATGATGCCACTGACACCCATACTAGTTATTGAAATATTTGATTGTTGAGGTATCGATTTCATGGATCCATTCCCATCATCTTTTGGTTATTTATACATCTTGGTGGGAGTTGATTATGTTTCTAAATGCGTAGACGCAATTCATTGTAAGCACAATGATCACAAAATTGTTTTGAAATTTTTGAAAGAAAATATTTTGTCAAGATTTGGAATATCTCGAGCCATTATAAGCGATGGGGGTTTACACTTCTGTAATAAACCTTTTAATGCCCTAATGAAAAAATATGGGATTACTGATAAAGTGTCTACTCCTTATCACCCAGACACTAGTGGTCAAGCTGAACTTGCAAATAGAGAGATTAAATGCATTTTGGAAAAAACAGTGAATCCAAATAGAAAAGATTGGTCTTTACGATTAACTCATACTCTTTGGGCTTATCGTACAGCTTTCAAAACACCCCTTGGTATGTCACCTTATCGACTTATTTTTTGAAAAGCCTTGTCATTTACCTGTTAAGTTGGAACACAAAGCATTTTGGGCTATTAAAATGTTTAATTTCGGTTTAGATGAGGCAGGTTCAGTTAGAAAACTTCAACTGAATGAGTTGGAAGAAATCAAGAATGAAACTTATGAGAACTCTCGAATTTACAAGGAAATAATGAAGGTATTCCATGATAAAAATATTGTTAGAAAAACTTTTGAGCCTTCCCAAAAAGTTCTCTTATACAACTCAAGGTTACATTTATTTCCTGGAAAATTACACTTCAAGTGGACTGGTCGTTTCATTGTCAAAACTGTTTACCCACATGGAGCTGTAGAAATTGAAAATCCAAGTAATGGAAATATTTTTAATGTTAATGGACATCGTTTGAAACCATTTCTTGAGAATTTCTCTAGATTAGAAGAGTCCATTGCTTTACATGATCCTAAAGATTAATATCATTTTCTCATTGTTTTATTTTGTTATGTTTGTTTTCAATTTTATAATGTTGTGTTTTTTTTGGTCTGTTTCTTTTATTGTCTTTTTTTTTTATTAATGAAATTGAAGGTTCGTTCGGGCCAAGTTTATGTAGACTTTCCAGGTAAAGCTCAAAACCCGTCCCTTTGTTCAAAATTTTGCTCCTTATTGCCCTTCATATATTTTGCACATTTAATCTTTACATTGAGGATAATGTTTCATTTAAGTTGGGGGAAAGGAATCAAAATGTTATAAAAAAAAAAAAAAAGGTTCTTACCGACCGATGATAATATTTGAAATTGTTTTTATATTATTGTGACTAGGGGATGCTGCTTTGATTTAGTTTAAGCTTGTTCATGTTAGATTGATTTACATTGAGCAAAATAATCATGAAAATCACATATTATTTCGATTGGATCAATGGATAGAATATGTAGAATTAACTATGACAAAAAAAAAAAAAAATTCCAACTAAACCAACTCTACGATAGTTTGGGGTGGTTGAGCTGTTGTGGGGAGACATTGAGATAGATGTGGATTCCATGTGTGTTAAATTTTGTGTGGATTGATTAAGACCAATGAGATAATAATTAGGTGAAAATCTTAAGTTAAAGATCGATTTTCGAGAATAACTGTTTAATGAGAGGCATTGCACTAATCATTACATAGAAGGGAAAAAGCTGTCATGTTGTGAAGCTACCCTAAAAAAGCCCAATGAGGACAATTATATACATAAAAAGAGATAGGCTAGTGCATGAAACAGAATACGCACTTCAAACTTGAAAAAAGCAGGTGCATGAAACAGAAGACACACTACATGCCTTGATTAAGTCCCAAACACTTATTTTAGAGATTTAGACATTT